ATTGCTTATTTCATACACACGTAGAAATGTGCTGCCATGACTTAATGGGGTAAGACCTTACATAGTTTAAGACTATTGATACACTTCGACGCTTAGTCCAGTTAGCATTCATAATGACTATGAATGCATGCTGAAACTATCAAATAGTTAAATTTACTTTTTTCCATTTTAATCCCATTGTGCGAGTTTTTATCGCTTCCGTATTTCAATTTCCTGCACCGATCGTGTGTGAGCGTTACAATTCTCCTGGAACATCGAATAGTCAAACCGGAACAATAATTATTACGGCAGCAAACTGGCTGTGGCATTCCTATCAACCTTAGTTTAGTTAAGTATCATAGTGACATTTACATCAATGGTATATTTAAAAGTATGCCAGTAAACAAAAACAAACAAAACAAAAACAAAACTACTTAGTAAATACTAATATGACTATAACTAATATGATATAAAACATTCAGTTCTCTAATACATAATCCGCCTTAACCAAGAGATCGTCCAGAGGCAGTCATATAGTTTTAAACATTACGTGAGATGAATTTATTAATATCCGCAGACAAGGTATTATCTGCTGCTGTTATAAGCGTAGAATTAGCATGTCCAATACGGTTAAAAATATCAAGAAGAAAATACCTGGAAGTAGATTAGTTAGGACAGTTAAAGAAATAAAAGACCAGCATTTACAATAGATGAATCACAGGAACATGCTAGATCAATGACGTGTTGATCTATAAATTAATGATGACAAAGTCACTTTTATTGTTTCTCATTTGGCCTAAAATAATATTAAAGGACTTGGTACATTATGGGTCATTTTCGGCCTCAGAAAAAAAGCAAAAAATTCAACTTGAATTTATTTACCAATTTCTGTTATAAACATCATTTTGGGTGATTAGGGGAATCTTTTTTGGTGCAGATCTGTTTCCATGCGTATGCGCTGATGCCCTCCCAGAACAACAAAATTGCGTTTTTATGCAGAAATAGCCAAAATATGGTGTTTTTGGACAGTTAGCTTACAGCAATGAGAACCTCCACATGTGACAAACAAAAAGAACGTTATACGAATGATCACTAATATGACAATGTTTATGCATGTCAAATATCTATTTATTTGGTGCTCGCGGAGAATTTCAAAAATTGAAGAGGGTTTAATAAATTTGCTTCAAAATGGCCTATTTTCAAGGTAAATGACACATCAGAAGATATTCAATTATACCTCTCTTTGTTAAGCCATATCTCCTATACACGATTTCGGATGAGTTTGAAATTTCATATTTGCGTACTTCCTTCATACCAGATTACGAATATTTTCAAACATCTTGTATAACTCTTCATTTATATGAATCGTTACCACCCAATACTCACTATTTCATGACGACATTACGGTTATAAAGTTTATTTTCGTGGCTCACTTTAACGCTTCTCATATTATTATACGGATAATGTTTCAGCGATCACGTTATCGATCCACAAAATCGCGAAAATATTATCCCCGGGGAAATATGGTTCTATACGGTACCTTGTTTTATAAATATCAGTTATTTATCATGGGATATTGAAAAATCTTAGGTAACTCCGATGATGACCATTGTATTGATTATTAATGAAAGATTCGATAATATCAAACAATTAATTAGGCGTTAAATGGTTTATTATTTAGTAAAATTCGATCAACTTATGTTTGTGACCCTCGATTTCAGTTTTCTATGCCAATCTCTTGATATAGTGTATTATCCGAGGTACAACTGCTTTAAGCAGTAATACTTTTCATGGCACCAATCTGTACTGATTTAGATATTTGGATCGCCAACAGTACTGTCCAAATGGAACCAGAATACTCTAGAATTGTTCGATCTCGACTTTATGTTGTAACATGTACAAAATATTCAATCGCTGATATGTTTTATTGTGTATATCATAAATATGACCCCCAATGAACCTTTGGAGGAAAAGTAAGTTCTGAATGTTAATGTAACAACATTCTTGAATATGCTGGTGGTCAAATATTAAAGGATGTTTGAACCTATTTTCCTAGATACTATTAATGTTTGTTTTATTATGATCGAAGTCGATTCTCTATTTTAGCCCAAATATTAATAGAATCAAAGCCATCGTTCATTGCAATAAATGGAGTTACGATAACATCATCAGTAATCGCAAATTGAGAAATGTTACCAACAAATAGTATAAGATTGGTGGTAATTTCATTTATATAAAAAAAAAAAGTAAAAATAAGAAAGGTCCAAGTAAGGAACCTTGTACTACCCCGGCAGATATGTTTAAAGTATGAACTATATCCTTATATAACAGATCTTTGCTTTTTATTAGTAAAATAGCTTTCAAACCATTTATTAAAACTCCACATATACCAACTCGCATAAAAACCGTATGCCAGACTTTGTGCAAGGCTGTATAAATATCACAAAAAGTAATCTTACATTCTTACCTTTGTCAATATTATTAATAATTAAATCATACATTGTTAACAATTGGTTGACTAGTTGACACGTTTAATATGGCTCAGGGGAAGTCAGTTAGAGTCAGAATTAGTTGTTATACGCAGATCATCAATAGAGTTAGACATACATGTAATAACCTCTGCTTTATCCAAAGGCAATGGGTGAATTAATACGTAATTTCCAACTCTAGGTGGGTTAAAAAATACATTTTTTATTGGAAAGACTACTAATTCATTTTGAAATAAGCGACAATTTACTAGGAGGAATGGTTACATTAGAAAGGGAGTTTTGAGTTTTGTGAGATACAGTTTTCATTGATAAGTTTATCCATTAGGTAATCAATGTGTGAATTAAATGGTCTATAAATGCAGCAAAGAAGATGTTTTTTTTGTAAGATGATCTTATTTCTGAGACGATGATTTCAAAATCAGATGATTCTAGATAAGATCGTCCATTAGCATGAATATTTTTGTTTTTTCGGAAAGGAAATGTTTTTTTTAATAGATTATACTCTGACTATTATCAACTCTAGACACAACACTATAACGCTAACATGCCACTTTAATTCGCTGAATTGGATGATGTTATACCATACGAAGCATTACATATACTAACATTTACCATATAATAACGTTTGTGCGAAGTCTGTTTACCATCGTGACCCAAACCGGAAATCAGATTGTAATAATAGGATAGAGTACGGACAACAATATCCGGAAGTTTATTTTTCATATCAAAAATGTGAATTTATACTTATGTTGTTAATATATATGTATGACGAATACTGATACGTGATCGAATATTTTAAACAGTATGTCCATTATTTAAAGGCGATTCTAGACCCCCATGTACATTGTATGTATAAACATATATATGTTTATGTCATACATTTTTTTTTTTTTTTTTTGTATATATCGCTATTTTAATTAAATATATTCCCCAAATTTGTGCTATATAGTTATTTTCAAACCATTTGTAATGATTGCCAATATTTTCGCTAAATGATTACTTTTAGGTGTAAAGGGATACTTGAACGTACCAAATAAATAATTATCAAATTTAATTACTCATTGCATTTCTATGCTCCTGATATTGTAGATAGTTATATATATATAAATGGGCTACGGCCTATCATAGGGCCATCAATCAATATGATTCCCTTATTGAACAAAGTGTGGTAGATAAACTAGTCATTGCTTACAGGTATACTTTCATAAAACCACGAAATGTTTGGTAAGGAAATGAAATGTTTCTAACATCTCAAAAAGTTTTCTTTATTCCCTCATCTTGTACGAGTTTCGACATTAATTTTGCATTATTTTTGGAAGTACTCCTTTCTTCATTTTGCTTAACATCTTGTGTTTTCATCAGTTTATATTATTTGTAGTTATTTATATTTAAATTTATTTATACACCTGATCCATCTGATTTTGTCATTAAATCGTTCTTTTTAAGTAGTTTCCCTATCGTAATAAATTTGAATAGTAGGGTCTTACTTTCTCTATTTCATATAAAATTGAACAAATAGGATTCACGGTTTTAAGGTATTTCTCGTTTGGATTTGGAAATGATATTGAAATGTGATTAGTTTGTTAGGCTTTCAATAAAACAACAGTCTTAAGTTAAATAAGAATCTTTTTACATTTTTTTATGGTATAAAATCTTCTTAATGCTCATTGCCCAACATTTTAAAAATCAAATTGGGTAGTTTCATCTCACATCACTATCCGAGTTGGACTTACATTTCTTTTTCTGACTGATTTTGTATTGTATTCTTTAATTGCTGCCTTTAATAAGCGATCTGTTACATCTGATACAATACATGTCAATGTCTTGCTTTTATTGAATTTTGTTTAATGGCCATATAGGAGGTATTTCAATACACATGTTTTGAAAAAAAATGGCGAGATTGGGACTTTCTAAAATAGACGATTTATTACTGCCCCCACTCCCGCGCTAGCCCGGTTAATAGCTGGGCTCACATTTGTATGAAATACTTATTATAATGATGCTTTTATCTCCCTCACCTATTACCATCTTGAAAAATAAAATCCTGCCTTTTTCTGATACTTTTGTCTAAGACTCTTCTGGTTGAATAAGCCACTGACACTGCAGCAATTTAGTTTACGATATTTAACAGTGGAATTGATCTCGAATTAAAAAGGTCTGTGTTTTTCTTGGAAGATATATACTATTTCTAAACACAAAATATTACTTACTTTTACCTAGCATTAACATGAATCTATAGGATTAATTTACTGTATAGATGTAGACTATAAATATCAAAAGATGACGATAATTAAATAAATGCAACTCATACTGAAAAATAAAAACATTAGTATTACAGTATTTTATCGTATAAATATAAAACAAATGGCAAATTAATGTCGTTTCAACATTTTCCATGCCTAAAATTATACAATATTATATGGACTAGTATTCAATGTGTCGGTTATCGCGCGGGTACGGTGACACGCCTCCGGCATTTCGTCACCTTACGTGAAGTGCGGCACGCGGATGGGGCCGAGAAAACAGGAAGTCACTGTACCGGGGCTATAAAAGGGCCAAAGCCAAAGGTGATAGTCACATCAAGCTGACGTTCAACAGGTAAGTGAATATATACATATGTATGAGTGGGGATATGTTTATAAAACTGAAAATCAAGAGTGATTTTATTTCATTCACAAATATAATTTTCTTTTAAAATTGGCGTTCTTATTCCGTCAGATATATAGCTTTCGTTTTATTGCTGTAAATCCTAATCAGAATTTTGTTTTCTTGTCTTACAGTCACCATGAAGTCGTCATCTGCGGCCCTTATTGCAATATGTCTCTGTCTCGGCGTGTCATGCGCACTGGGAGCCGGATATGGTTCCGGGTACAACAGCTATGATACCTACGGAAGTGTCGGAGGCGGATACACCATGGGTTATGGAAGCGGGTACGGTAGTGGATACGGAAGTGGTTACGGCAGCGGATACGGAAGCGGATACGGAAACTCAAAGGGATACGGAAACTCAAAGGGATACGGAAAGGGCTACGTCTCCACCGAGACCGTTATTAGACAACCTTACATCCAGCCTATGGCCCTCCCACCACCACCACCATCCCAGGGCGGAAACGATGGACTTTTTGGACTCGGAGGGGGATCTGGACTCCTTTGTAAGTGTTTTATCTTTCTAATTTATAGAAGTGATACAGTGTATTACCATCAGCTTTCATTTGTTAATATATAAGTAATTTTGTTGTGATGTATAGTAGTAGTGCACATTGTTTTAAGACCAAATACATCTGATCAGTTCTGTGCTAAGTGTGGGACAATTCTATTCCAGTAGAGCGGCTACTCTATATCAATGACCATTTACTCTAGTTATCTTTATTTTTACATATGCAAAGTCCCTTCTTTCTTCTTTTGTATACCTATAACCATAAGTGAGGAAGCAATATTCAAGCATTTTAAAAAAGATCTGAGATTATTTGCGCAAAATTAAAATCAATTAATATTTTCTTATTGAAATACAAAAACAAATAATTTTGGGTATGCGCTTTTCTTTTTTGCACAATATTTGATCTTGAAACAAATGCCGAGCCAAACATTTCTATCATCGATACTGCTATACCATCTAAAATATATTTTAGAACACAGTATGTAATAGTATACAATAAGTATCTTTCTTCGGTGCTTACTGTTATAGCCCTTATTCAGGTTTTACAGTCTGGCCTATAACGTATATTGATGTTGCACTGTGACGCCACTTACTCCAGATTCGGTAAAGCATGCATTGGAACCTGTATGCCTTATTTAGGTACTTTTCTGTCATCGATAAGAGTTTAACACCAATGTCATTATTTTAGATATATGCTGTTTAGTTGTCTACAATGATTACCATATATAACAATATCCTGTAACGTAAATTGCTTCATTTTCAGTGCTCGGTCTGCCCCTCCTCCTTCTGTTGAGGAACCGTAACTCAGGTTAACTTCTGACGCTGACACTTATTACATTAGAAGCAACTCTGTGATGTAAGTATATCATGTCCTATAACGACCAGTTCCAGTATTTCAATATATATCTGGTAATTGATTAATATTATCGTCAATTTCAAATATTGTAATTGATAATCATTATGAATATTAATTTAATCTAGAAATAGATAGCCACCCTCAGTTCACTATAAGTTTGGAAATTGATGATCACACTTGTGCTATACATCTGCTTTTTGATTATGTCGTTTTAATATTTTACATCCGAAATATTCTATATATTTTCTATAGCTTGATTGTCAAATTGTCATATGCATTCATCTATGAAATTTCCTAAACTCTGTTTTATTTTATTTTCAGACATCGCGCAATATTGACAGTTGATAGTTTGGTCTGTGTGTTATTTGTTTGTATGATTGTGCTGTTGTTATGTTAAATAAAAGATCGAAATAAATAGTACGGCGTTGTCATGTTTTGGGGTAACAGACTGTGACAAGTCTAATGTGAAATGAAATCTCTTTAACCTAAAAGAAACCGAAAGATGTAGTTAGAAAAATATTTTGTGAGACACACAGCATCGAATTCGATGACAAAGATACCAAATCGACGATATTCGGGGTTAGAAACACGATGACAAAAAATATCAAAACGTAGGGATAAATAAATTGACCGCAGCATCAAGACCACATTGCCAGAATAAAATATATCAATTCTTCAGCGAAGATAAACAAAATAAACCACATCGTCATCATACGGTTAAATAAGATCACGGCGTCAACACACGAGGAGAAAATATATAAACAAAGGGATGTAGTATACCGCAGCGTAAATACACCAGGGCAAAATATATCACATTATTCCTTGTTAGGACAAAAAACTACCACAGCTTCAACACATCAGGCATAAGAGGCCACCAGGTCAACACAAAGGGATGACATATAGTACAGCTTCAATACATAACGACATCAAAACAAATCGGAAGATAGCGCGGGACCTACATTCTGCACGTTATAATATGATGTCATATAAGTGTGATTGGTCCACCGGCATGCATCGTAAGGCAACGTTTATATCAGCCTTACACAAAACATGACATAATATTTAGCAATTTATTGAATGTACATATAATTTTATATACTTCCCGTAATACTTCACATTTTATCAAAATATACATTCATAATGTATATTCATATAAACATGTCACTACATTCTTAAAAAGATATTGAGATAAACATTAATGTTTATATATTTAGAGGTTATCAAATGACCCTATCAGCCCGAAGGCTGATTCGGAGTAAGACATGGAAATGGTTCTTACATGTATGTAAGCTTTTTATCATATCCTGCTCTATAACATCAAAAATATAAGCAATAACACATAAATCTGGCAGAAAATTGATATACCTAAGGTATTTCATACAGGCTCATGTCAGTGTATATAGTTTGTAATGGGCTCATAACTTTTTCTCAAAGCGAAAACAGATATGGAACTTGCTTGGTATAACCATGTCAAGAACAATGTCAATAATGATCTTTGCAGATATTTTTTGTCGAAAGCAGAATTTCAGTGCCGTAAAATTGCATTGAATAAAAAATACTTGTACATTCATTCCTGAAGTATCCGTGTATTCACTAATATCGAGAAATATGTAAGAAAATGCTTCAAATATCAAGAATGATGGCATGTATTTTCATTGGATATTTTACAACAATTCATGAAGCTAACAAGGCTATTGATACAAGTCAACCAGATTACTTGAGCGAGAAAACCTGTAGTGTTTTGAACGGTGTACAGGTAAATTCTCACTTGCTTTGCATGCTTTTTTCCAACCTCAGTCAGCCTTGTTAGTTTTATGCTCAGTTGTGAATTATTCAGTGAAAATAAATTCCATTATTCTGGAGATTTGACACATTTTCTTATATTTTTCTCGATAGTTGTTTTTTTTACTTCAGGAATGCATGTACAGGTAAGTTTTTTCATTAATTTTATTATTCATTCGGTTTTGCGCCGCTCAAATTCTGCATTCAAAAGTTACTTTTCAGACAAAATCAACAATATTATCGACAAATAATTTCTTCAAAGGTAATTGTTGGCATTGTTCTTGACATGGGTATACGAAGCAACTCCCATACTTTATTAATTTTGAGGAAAGTTAAGGTTCAACAAGCCCCCTAAAAGATGACGTAGTCAACTAAAATTCCAACCCCCTGGTAAGTCATGTTCCAAGACCTCAATTACAAATCGAAACTCACATATGTTATTTGTATATATTGTACTTGTACATTGGCCATACAAAAAATATGTAGCCAGGTTAAAGTAGTCAAAAAAAGGCATTAAGGCTGATGTTTTCATAAAAATACCTCACTGGACTTATAACATGTCAATCCCTTTTGCAACCCAACTGAGTGCTGAGAAATGACCCATAATCTAAAGTTTATTTATATACTTAGGTCATGCGGAGCTTTATTTCTCTTATACTAGCTGTTGAGAGGAATTCCGACCCCAAATAAAGATAGATGTTGCCATGAGAAACCACTAAAATCATAATAAAATCTCCTGGTAATACATTTTAGCAAATTTTAAAAAAGAAAACAATGACTAAGTAACCTTGATCGATAAATGAACTTTAGATGATGTGCCATTTGATATCATTATATGATTATATGAATGCGCTAGACATGTTATAAACAATGAAGCTGAAAAGTACGATAATGTTTACAATAAGTCTAGCTCTTTTATTACAACATTGTATGTTAAGAAAGGACATTTTAAATGAAGTTTAAGTTGTATTTATGGTCAAAAGTCTGTAGTGTTACACATATATACCGGTAAAATATGTTACGCGGACGTTTAACTATGATTTTTGTACTTTTCCATAGCAACAATCATCTTCTTGTGAGGGCGGTATGCCTCTCCACACATAGTTAAAGATAAATAAAGCCCCGCATGACCTAGGAATATAAATGATCTTCAAATAACATGTCATTTCGTAACATTCAGTTGGGTCGCTTTAGAGATTGACATGTTATAAATCTGGTGAGCAACTTTTATCATTACATCAGCCTTAATGCCGTATTTTTGACTTCGTTGACCTGGTTATATACCTTTTTAATAGCACAAGTACAAGTTCAATGTATTTAAATTACATATATATATTCCGATTTGTGATAAAGGTATTTGAATATGACTTGCCAGGAGGTTGAAATTTAGGGTAACTATTACCTCTTTTAGGGGGCTTGTTGTACCTTAACTACAATCACCTTAAGTAACCATAAACAGATATAATATACAGTGTATATGATAAATATATGTGTCCCATATCGAAGCTTCACTTTATACACAGTCAATGTTCTTATTTAACGGGTCACAACGTTTCAGGTTGACTGGTCCCTTTGTCAAACTATGGCTGAGTGTGATATTTGTATTTTCATCTGTACTACAGAGGGTGCCTCAACGTGGCAAGAACTGGGAAACAACAATGTCATAGCTATGGTGATACATTGTCGGCTGCCCCTTCTGATATTACTAATTAAATATAAGAAGAAATTATCTGATTGGATTTTAATTCAATCAACATCTATTTAAGTGTATACCACGATTACCCGCTTGTCATCAGCTGCAAATTACAGTTTATTTTAAAGTGGTTTGATATTTCATTATTCAAAATTGTTATTATTCCCTTACTGTGGCCTTATTTCTGATACGAATCTCTCAGGCTTTAACAGGATATTATCCACCTCAAGACGTTATTGCATAGATGAAATATTTGCTTTCTTAACGGCGTAACGGAATGGACACTTGGGGTTTAGCCCTATAAAACTTATAACCATATTGTGAATCAAGTTATGTGGTAGTTTTTCTTTAGAATATAAGTAAATACTGACGGGTCCGCAGGTGCTCCGCCTTATGCCTGACCTTACCCTAGTGGCATACTTTTAGTAGCAATGACTTTGATTATGAACACTTTTAAACCCCTACTTCACAAAATACCACCATGTCAAATTGCTCATATACTTTCTGGAAACGAAAGTGCGGACGGACAGACAGACAGACGTATACAGTGATTACTATAAGGCATCCACATCTCCAATGAAGGGCCCTATATATAGAGTCATAAGTAAATAGGCATTCAAGGGCTTCCATAACAGAAAGGTGACTTTATCAGACAATCGCGTATATGACGTAGCCTCTATGACCCGATATAGTTTATGCCCGTGTCAATGCCTTGTATGTACATCAAGTGTTCACGAGGTGAAGATGTGTGAACTCTTGGTGGAATTCTTTGGGATTTTAGTCGCTGTGTGTCTGTGTATACTCGCCTCTGTAGCATGGCATATTCATCGACAACATCAAAAGTATGATCATCTACCTGGGCCTCCCAGGGACAGGTAAATATATATAAAACAGTGCTGCATCTACACTGTTTATAAACACACCACCAACATGTTTATAAACATTAAGACAAGTATATAACATACCGTATGTATAGCATAGTTTCTACATGATGCTTGATAAGACCCAAATCGTTTTCTCTTTTTCCATTCCTTCCTCTCTTTCTTCTGCTTCTTCTTTATTTTCCGTCATGAAATACTTGTCCGCGCTGGTTCTGAAAACCAAAGTGCAAATAAAAGATGAAACTTGGCATGCGTTCTGGTGGGCATGTGAAGATGTGTCAGCCACCTTTGTGTTTACGATACATAGATGTTTCTGTACTTTTTAATCAATTACCAAATAAAAGGCCCATATTGTTACAGGCCACTGCACATACTTGGTCGAAAGTAAGGTATTGACCGATGACGCCAAATTTGGTATGTAGGTGTATATACCATATGGAACGATACAGTGACTTGAAATAGACTCATTTACGGCGGCGGGGGTAGGTTTGAGGACTTCTGTAACGGCCCCTGTTACAATTAGAACTGTGTTGCTGACCAACAAATCATGCGGATATCACATGTTGTACATGATGATTGTTTTGGACCTTGATTATATAACATGTTTAGCCTCTGGTTTATTTTTAATTTTATCAGTTTTATTAGTTGTTATGGTCGGTAATGTTATTAATAGCTGAATCATAGAAAGATAAAATATTGAGTATGTAACGACACGGAGTCAATCTGCCTTGAGCGTCCGTTCTATCCAGGTCAAAAATCATTCTCAATTTTCTTCAATTGAATTGGGTTTTGATATATCAGCAGCTTCCTGTTTGTTTTCCTCTGTCAAAGCATACTTAGACGTATTGTCAGCTATTACTTGACATAGGAATATTTTCCTCAACATTATTCGCGCAAAATATAAGAAAGTATGGCTTTAAGACTGGTATTTGTGGTACCCTAATTTTAAGGTTTATCTATTAGATCTAAATCCATCAAAACAATCCTCTTTTTTCTGTCTTTAAGATAAGAAGAACATCATTTAGTTTTGTTCTCGTATTGTGCATTGGAACTGGAATTTTGTGGCAACTCTTGAAGCGAAACTGTTATATGGAGAATTTTGTGCAGTTCAGCAGATATAGTAATGGGTGCGACTTAGATAACATCAGCTTTTGAAGAAGGCTAATTGAATTTAGAACGCAATTAGACATTAATTACCTGTACAACAAAGAAATTATAAATAGTAGATAACGTGTTAGGGGGAGTAGGTTAAAGCGACGTCACGGTGAAGCTAAATATTTTAATGCCTTTTTTTCAAATGCTGCATAGATATCTCAATTAAGGTACGGTGTGTCATCTTGGGCAAGTGACGTTTCAATTTTGGTCTTATAGATGTTTGTAATCTTCTTGGGATCAGCAAGACTTCTTCTTATCTCTAAACCATCACATCCTTAACCTGAATAACCTTTCTAGTTCGCGCAGAACCAAAAACAAATGTCATAGATGTTGTCTGTGGGACGTTTAGGTCATATGTACAAACTCAGCTTTGGTGTTTTGTCACTTTCTGTTGTTTACAAGGGACCACTGGACTTCATCGTCGTCGAATGCTATCCTTTGTCCCGACTCCCTTTAACTGGAGTCTTCGGGATGGTCATCGCTCAATTCTACTGTTATTGGGACAATCTCTAACAATATATTCAATCTAATTACCATATTTTCCTGTGTGGTTACCATTATGTCTGAATCCCCGTCATATGAAGCTGAAATAACAATAAATAGAGAAAAAGTGCCTCATTCACGTATCAATACTTGTTACAATATCAAAGTGTATCAAACCATTAGGGATATTTAATATTTCTAATATAATAATTTAACAATAAAACTATGTTTCTTAAACTATCCTCATGTCATAAACTAATGGGTCCAAATACAGATTTAAAAGTACGATATTTCCAATACCCAGTATAATAAACTAATCGCTTAAACAAACAGACCAGTGCTTCCATAGATTTCTTTTGTTAACAATATTACGTTATATGATCTCGCTTAATACTTTTTTAACATTTTGTGCTCATATATAGGTTCTTTTTCCCCTTAAAGTTTTCCAGATTTCATATATCACATTATATGATATTAGAAGTAAATATATAGTTACATATATAGTCACAATGTTAATGCATTCACATCCCTTAAGTTTTGTTACCAAACACATTTCACATTTCATCAGTCCGATTTACAAAAACAGGTTCTCACACTACCTTCTAACCTGTGCACGTTCACTAACATTATCTACATTACAAACACACGCGTAACTGAATGATATATCACAATTCAATATCGTATGTAATTACCAACACAAATACGAAAAAAACGGGTACTCCCTACTCCTAACACACACCCTCACACACACACTCCAACACACACACACACACACACACAGACACACAGACACACGCACGCACGCGCACGGACAAACAGGAATACATGTGTGTGTGTGTGCGTGTGTGTGTGTGTTCTTGTCTATGTACACACAAACACATAACTCGCTTTACACTTCTTATTCATCACGCATCAGTGGGCCGCACATGTAAACAGGTATGACATTCAGTTATGGCGTCGGTGATGCTAGGGGCCAAAAGGGGGAAATACAGATTGTCTAAATTACTGTAAAAACAGAGGGGTGAGTGCTTAAAACCCCTAAATTTATGAATTTCAAAATTAAGAGGAGTACTGATGAATTTCTAATCAAATCACCAATAAAGTGTATATTATGAACAATTATTCTGACAATAATTTAGACGATAATGATTCTCAACTTTTTGGCCCGTAGCATTTCCGATGAGGTCATATAAGGATGAAAGTGCTGTATGGTGCAGTTTAATTAATTGTTTGATAAACTCCATCTATTATCAAATGTTTAAAAGTGTGTTATGTTCATCAAACAAGACATGGCACAATGATACCATATATAGACGAGATATATGATACCCACCACAGACTGTCTTCTGTGCGTACCTTCACAATAAAATAGCGTATCAAGCCATGCTGGCTGATTACGACCATCTCGTGTTGTCGTGTTTGAAATGTATTTAAATAATCATTTCTCCTTAAAGTACATACATTGACAACTGATTTGTTTTCCTTCATGTTCTATCACAGGACGGGTCATATCCTGGAATACTTGAGTTTATTCCTTCACTGGCAATTACAGAGAAAAATGTTCAGTTAAACATTTTTTTCCCTTGGTTTTAGAAAACATTTCAATTTAAACTATATTTCGTCGCAATTTAATTCGGAAATGGGTATGATAGAAGGGTTCGGTACCGAAACATTAAACATAAAACATACCGTTACACAGTGGCATACATAATATTTAAAAAAAATAAACAGAATCTTGAAAAGCTTCAGATGAAATGTAAATCTCCACTGAATAACAAATCCGTGCCAGGTGACTGCATTTGTTAGTGTTTGCTTCGTTGCACACACACTAAAACCTTGCTTTTTATTCAGTAGTGATACTGCCCTCATTTTTATACAAAAATAACATTTTAACACTTAAGGTTTACGTCATTTATGTTGGCAAGTGTTGTGAATATTGTATAAAGTATATATTGACTCGGCGTCCTATAATGAATACTATGCGTTTAAGTACCTGGAATCATATGCACCAGCAATGGTAACCTTGACTTTGAGTTTTTTATGTTGGAATCCAGTTAAACTGAATATGTATGTGAAGTACCTAAAAAATCGTTAAGAAATGTTACTATGAAGTACATCAGGAAACAATGTGAAAATTCATCCGATATTTATTCATTATTTATCCAAGTATTACCAGTGACCTTGACCGAGGTGCAGGGTTCTGAAACGAAAAAACCCCGAGTTACTCCAATTTTACTCGGAAAAGGATAGGAAGGGAATGTTAAATTATAGCTATACTAGGTAGGTGTTACCATGACGTGACAGTGGGACGCATACTGACTTGTGTAATAGTATACCTAACCCAACCTCGACCCTACCATTCCCCCCAACTCTACTTTCTTACTTTATGACAAGAAAAGCATCATAAGCGATTACAATAATCGTTATATATTCGAAAGCCATCCAGGGATCTCACTTGGGACCTCTAGTTTACTATGGTCTACTCTACAAAATAACGGAAGATAAAAAGTCAATGGAAAGAGGTTGGTATGGCGAGATATATAATAATAAAATAAATCGGTACTGATGGCGGACCTGCGATGACATGATATTTCCACATTTTGAATGAAATTTTCGACGCTTACAAGGTATCTACTCATAATAGCTTTAAGCTCAAGGTACTTGTTCCTCACATTCTGGTTGGGTGGGTTCTGATTTGTTATCTGCAAAATTACATTATATGATGTATATATAATTGGGGCAATCACAGGAATTTCCAATCGCAAAGTAACTCAATTTCTTGTTCTTTTTCGATCATCTGTCTTAACATTTGCAGGTCTTTGGTCGGAACCATATATGAGATTGACCAGTTTGATCAGACCTAAGTTATTGTGATGGGTAACATTATTAATAGCTGGATCAAATAAAAATAAGATAAGTAGTATGTAACGTAACAGAATCCATTAACTTTGAAATTTCGTTTTATCCAGGTTGGAAATAATTCCCCATTTTTTGGTCCAAATACATTTTTTCAGATTATATTTCAATATATCAGCAGCTTTCAGGTTTTTCCCCTCTGCCAAATTGTATGTTCATCTCTCAATTACATGGAGACGACAGAAAGGAAACTCGAAGAAAAGGAATGCGAAAATGAAAATTAGGGGACTATTTTTGTGCTTTGTTATCTTCGTCCCTTCATTTCTTTGCCTGTTCGTGTATAAAAGCGATGGAACAAAGGAATTATATTTGCATGTAAATCTGTAGTACTCATACTGCCAAGAACTATGTTTTTTTATCATTCTTGAAACGAATATCAGTAAGACGAGATCAGTCAAGGGAGGTAGCCTAATTATAAGAGTCGTAAGGAAATCATTGTAAGTACGACACAGCAGAAAAGACTGCTCTAGTGTTTTCAATTTGTCGCCAGGACAGGGATCCTAAGAGTTGTGATTCAAAATGAATTTCAGATGTTCCCATTTTTGCCTTGTTGTCTGTCTCTTCGCTCCGTGCCAGGTCTTCTTCAAATTGAAAAAAAAATGTCGAATAGGACAACTGTGGTCAAACTGCTTGATTAAAAAAGACGTATGTGGTTTGTTTATTCGTCAAAGACCTCCCACTTACAAAAACAATCCCATTTGTATTCAAACAAACAATTAATGAAATAGCGTCGGGTTTGTATTTTTCTTTATTGAGATATTTCTATCATAAATGATATATTGATGACAAATAGAGATTTTCATGATATTAATAGCTTATAGGATCAAATAAACTACAAAAGATATCAACACAAATTTTCTTCTTCCTAATTTACACAGCACATTCCGTCAATAGTATAATATTATTCTTCAATTCAAATTTTGCTACAATGATAACTGCAGGAAAATCAGTCACCTTTGTAAATAAGAATGTTATCACCATCACATTTACGCTTTCCATCATAGTTAAAAGGTATTATTTCTTTAAAACACCTCTTTGAAATTTTTCCGATTGAAGTAAATAACGAACAACACATATATCTTATATATCTTTTGAAGCTTCTGGAGTGGACACATCCGGTCGATCGAAAAGGTGGTTGCTGCTGGTGGTATTATGGATGACTATCTAATAGAAATGTGAGTAAATAGTTAAAAATAATATAAATACTGAACAATATAATTATTTACTGCATTTCATATACATGTAATAGTATTATGTTATAGAATAAAAGATACTTCTAAAAAGATGAAATTACAGTGAGTGCTACAAATGATGTGTGAATATGATTGTTGATGTGTTTGTTGTATTTTCATTAGACATATGCTACTCAGTATCATTACATTTATTTTTCTAAATTTGGTTATTTGGTGTTTATATGTTACTGCATATCATTTAAGTAATATCATTTCAGAGCTGATCTGATTACGACAGTTCTAAAACTATCCAATTAATTTTCAGTTCCAAAACTCATGGACTGGTTTTCCGTCTATGTGTGTGGCATCAAGTTTTTGTCTTCGTTTTAGATCCAGAATGCATTAAGGTAAATCTTATTAGATTTATTTTTATATACAAACAAATCCAACGTATCACTGCCTAAAAATACATATGAAACAGATTCTCATTTTCAGTTATGTAACATACAACATTCTGAATGGATCCTCTACAAAATTTTTAAATTATCACAAATTATTTCCGAATAGTTGTTATTCTAATTTTAATGCTTAGACCAACTGCCCAATAATCATCCAGAAAGCTGATGCATCAACATTGCCTTACGCGGGGCATGTACTTGTCAATCTCAACAACATGTTTGCCTTTTTTGCGTTGGAATTCAATGTGAATGTAGCTCAGTGTGAAAAAACAATCGTTGACCTGACCTAGATAAAGTTGTTGTCTGTTAGGTAGATACAAAGCTGCAGTTTGGTGAAAGCATGCGTGCTACATAATCTTATGCGTATAATGTATTGAAAATTTAGCTTCCGCAGCTTCTATACGAAAATGGTTACCAGATCTGGAGGCAAAGTACATCTCCAAACCGGTCGTGCACTATTACTGCAACATTGACAACTATTTCGCCATAGAAACCACACAACTTTACACTGTTATACAAAAGATACATTTAAGACAGGGTGGAATAGCTAAGCTCTGACTTGTATGATATAATGGGGACTAGTTTAACAAAGACATTTAGATTAATGATAACTATAACGTTCTTTGATATCCCTTTTATTTTGAAAAAGTATTTTGTATTGTTTGATGAAATATCACGTTTCTCGTGTTGTAACAGGAAACTGGTCTTGTTTTAGGATGTTCTGGTTACTGGAAATCATCCAAAATCGAAACGGATATATTCAAAAATTACCAACGTCTTTGGTGCAAGGTAAACAATATGTATGTGTGTATGTCTCACGCAGCGTTATTGTTTGGTTTAATGGAGAAAAAAAAGTCATTCAGTAGCTCAAAATTGTTGAAATATACGTGGTGAATTCGTGGATTCATAATATCATTATGGTTACTATGCTGTGGTTATGATATCGAAGAACTTCGTTTTGATATCAACTATACATTACTTACGCACATCTCCATTTCACTGTTTCAGATTTTTGGGAGAGGGAATTGAAACGGAGCTCAATAGCAAGATCTGGGTTTTGCATCGAATGCATCTTGAGCTATGGTTCAAACCAAGGTAAGATATTTATTCAACACTAAAACAATTCGCAACAATGATGGTCTGATGTATACAGAGAGATAGAAATGAAAGCATTTCGTTTTTAACAGAGAATAGCAGGCACATAATTATGCATTGAACCAAATTTAGTTATAATCTACTGCGGATAGAAAACGGAGAGTGTTTCGTGGTATTATCTACTAAAGATACATTCTGATTAGCATTTCGACTTCATTGTATCTTAATATCAATAGTATCTTAATAGTATCATTGTATATTAATAAACAAAACAGTGATAAGAACGGATTCCGTTAACTGACATGCTTCCCACTTATTTATATTTTGTTTGATCGAAATAGTATTTGTTACAACGAAACATTACTTCTATAAAACAAAATAGTAATTCGTTACCATGAAATTATATTTCGATAAAGCGAAATCATAATTTGTTAAAACGAAATATTAATTCGATTAAACGAAATAAGAAATATCTTTACTTAAATGTCACCTTTTGGTATCACTCAGCTTGAACTACACTACCAGGCTATCAATTTATACCATTTTGCGAAGGTAAAAAATGTTTATTGATTCATTAGCACTCAATGGTAGACTACGACTTAATGTGACTGAATCATTTGAATTGAAAAGGGTGGTTTTCGTTGCTTTCTTCAAATTAAAAACAGATCACAGTTACAGTTAGCATTTTGCGAAGAGAGCTTAATTGAAGAACATAAATGTTAAACATATCAAAATTTGTTTGCATTCAGTTGGTATGGGTAGAAATTACAAGGTATACAAACACGAATGATTTCAACCATATTTGAGACGCCGTGCTATGGTATTCTTTATATCTAATTTCATTACTTTCTACCTAAAATGTGATCAAGTGATGTTGTACTTGTATAAATTATCATAATATGAATAATATACAGTTCAAAGTCATCTTTAACACAGAAAAAGACGATTATTTATTTGTTTAACCTCTTTCAGCTACATTGGAAAATTTGCATCTGAATTCAACGGGTTTGCCGATCGTTACGCAGAGTACCTGGAAAGCAAAGCGGACGGCAAGACAGAGATACACATGTTGAATACGTTTAACAAACTGATGTTGCATCTTTTGTATAAGGTTTGTTTGGCAGTAGTGTATGATATAATTTGATGTACAATAGTTGTCGGGCAGTAGGTCACGTAATCATCATTGTGAATAAAGAAGATTTGTTTAAGATTGGACGTTACCATCGATTATGTAAAGTTTGTTTTTAAGTAAAGATGTACTACTCAAATTGGTTTAAAACGTTTGTGTGGGAGACAGGTAAATTACCACTTGTTGGACATGGTATGTGTTGGATTAATAAGAATAAATAAGTATATGTGCTTGTTGGTGCTTGGTTGGCCTAGTGGACAGTGCACTCTCCTTTCACCAAAACGGGCGGGGTTTGATTCCCTAATCGGACGTGTAAAGGTATTGAGTCACCTGCCCGATCATGTGGGTTTTCTCCGAGTACTCCTGTTTCCTCCTACATTAAGACAATCTGCGCGCTCCCACCTGGACCATCAAGAGTGAATAAATAAGTTGGAATAACTTGTCATATAATAATATATAACTAGTCGAACTGAATTAATTTATTTTCCAAATAATTCATAATTCAGTAATGTGCATGCATGTATTAATGTCCAACACAGCATGATTAATAACCAACGAGGTGTGTCATTACATCGCGAACATAACATAATTTGTAATACCATTTGTTGCACAAGACAAGTCTGGTAGGAGGATATATTCTGTTTTAGTCATTATTTTACCAAACGTTGTCCAATGAAGTCGACGCTCACTATTGATTTGTTGTTAAAACATGAACGTAACACATAGACATATGAAAAATGCAACAAAATACATTCGTGGGTTAATGAAATGTCAATACTTTATCTCAAAAGCAGTATACTTTACTTATGTAATACAACTATTTGAAAAGGTAAACCATGGACATACAAAGTTTCCTCAAGATGATTTTTTGTTTACTATTGAATACAATTTCAATGTCTTTTTGCATTAAAAGGGTGTAATCATGAAAATGTGTGCCTATTTCAAACCCTAGGTTCGGTGTAGGGGGAGAATTCAGTGTAAGTTAAATTAGTATACCTTCTTTTAAAAAGAATGTTTACTTATCTGGCATATCGGTCAAAATTGTCACATAAGTATATTTAAAATGAGAAAGAATTGATGAAGCTAAGGGTAATCTTCGCGGATACGAACCAGATTGTAAGAAGTCAGCATTACACGAGTCGTGTCAATTACAGGTTTTATTTCACAATTCACAAATATACATATATCATGTTATGTGAGTATGGCTTCTTTTCCAGGTAGCATTCAGTGTAGACATGGGACCGCTAACTGATGAGGATCATCCTTTTGTCACGACAATGAAGACAGCTGTAATAGGATTTGCGAATCTTCTGTCAAGCCCTTTGGTAGCTGTACGTATAAGGCTTATAAAACATAAAACGCAAATGAATTGCTTAAACTTCCAAAAATGTCATCTTTGTCAGTTGTAGAGTTAACAGTAGTACGGTATCCATTATGGGAAAGAACTGACTTTAAATAAAATGGATATAATGGCAGAAAAGGATCTTTAGTACATGCAGTTCTGCGTACAAATGGTATTATTCTACTATTTAACATGAGATATATTATGGGTTTTTTTCAGATAAATCCGTTCAAATGGAGATTTCGCCGGGATGTTCGAGAAGCTATAAAATATATCAGACAAAGCGCCGAACAAATGATGACAGACAGAAATGTAGCAAAACGAAACGGCGACTATGTTCCCCACGATCTCTTGGAGTACATAATGGAACTTAAAGGTACTTCTCCAGTAAATTATTCAATTTCATACAAATCTGTTGTATTGTATTAGATGAACAAAACGATTGAGCCCAATCATTGTCTATCAAAGCCCTTTCCAGTGTATTATATATTGCTTGGTCTATTGACTTTATCTATTAGCATCAATCGCAGGGGGGATTACTGTCCTTATCTCTAAATCGCAAAGACCATTTTTTTTAGAATTGTACATGGTGATACACTGTTATATTTAAATGTGCATTAAGAGTTTGAAAGTTTCTAAATTCAAGGTCAAGGTAACTGTTAATAGAAAAAAAAGGTCACAGAGTCACCCTTACGGTGAGGCAAGTGGCAGGGCCCTTGCTGACCTGACAGTGTTTTAGTTTATTATGATTAATAACAATGAAATGATCATCTAGTGAAGGAACAAAAAGATGACCACAGTCTTTCTTTAAAAAATGAAATATAACAAATATACTTATTTCACCAACGTCAACTATTTAACGTCTCACAATCAGTTGTTTCTTTCCCGAAAAGTTTGCGTTACCTTGATTGTTGAAAAAATGTCCCGGTATATGGTTAAGTAATGATATAACAACAGAATTTAAATGTTTCCGAGTGAACGTTTAAGTCAAAGCAGACTTAATGCATAGGACAATAATAAAACCTTTGAAAAGAATAGAAAAAAGTATATATATTGATATATTTTTACAGAAAAGCATCCATCAAAAATGACGGACGAAATACTGTTGGACAATTTCCTGACATTTCTTTTGGCAGGTAAGTATATACAGCTATAAACGGAAATGCTTAATCAAGTTGACCGCGCCTCAGTCAACTGGGAGATCTGAATGTCACACGCACGCACATGATATGCCAAAAATAAATTACACTGTATTATACAGGTGTTTCGTCCTTCGAGACAGATATATTAATGTAGAATCACTCGATGTTGAAACGTGAAGCTGAAACAAAATCATGCATAATCGCTTAAAACTTATAACTATTTATATAAGTTATTTTAGGATTGAATGAGAAATAACAATCTTTTCGTTTATCTTAATTCCCCCTATGCCTTCTATGAGACTTAGTGTGTGCTAAACAGACTTGTAATTTCTCCAAAATATTACACACATCTTATTGTAAAACTATTCTATCTATTCAGATTGTAGGATTCCTCCCTTCATACCTTACAATCTGTATTTTAACGTTTGGATATCAAACGATGAAACGTTTTACTTTCAAAGCGTATTTTATTAGCCCACCAGCATCAGTTGATGGGCAATTGAAATCACACTTCGACCGCGGACCGTCCTCCGACCGTCATTCCCTCCGTCCTTGTTACATTGTAGCACTATTTCTGAGAAAGTACTGCGGGGATTTCCCCCACTTTTCGCTGAACTATTTTCAATAGTCCTTAATTATGTCTAGTCAATTTTTGAACTGATCAAAAACCGACAGGCCACCTTGAAGTTTTCTAATTAGAGCTTGTTAAATGCTTTTTTAAGAAAGAACTGAAGTGATCTTTCTCAACTGTTACGGGAAGGTTTCCAATTGTCTTTCATTGTGCATGTTGCATTTTGAGACTGACTGGAAAACACGAAGACCACCAGACAGACATCTTGAATTTTGTTATCACAAAAATATTTCGCAAGATGTACTGGACGGATCTTTATCAAATTTTGTAAGTTAATTTGCATAGGGTCTCAAATTGTGCATGTTTCATTCTGATGCTAACCAGAAAAACAAAATGGTCGTAAGATAGCCATTTTCGATTTCAACAATTGTTATCGCCATTTCTCAGAAGGTATTGGATGGATCTTTCTCAAAATTTAAAATCTTCAAAAATTGGTCTTAACTCCTATTGACACAGGAGGAAAGCGAGTAAAAATTCGTTGTTTTAAAAAGGTCAAAAGTTTAAGAAATATTGGGTAATTTCGAATTGGTAAAGTGTGTATATCATGAACCAATGCTAAAGAAATAGCTGTGGGGTTCAAGGCTACGGCAAACCGCGAGGACTAAGGAATCCACCAGCAGAGTCTACAAACGTTGAAGGTAACACACACACAGGTGAATGCACCTTCAACAATTCAGTACATAGAGTGAGCTATGTTTAAAGCAGTTTTAGCTCTGTTGTGATGCTCAATGCGATTCCATCTCATCTAATCATCAAGCAGTTTTTGTCCACGATGGCTTTTAAATCAAGTATATGTTAGCTTTTTACAAAGCATAAATCAAGTTTTTTAATTGTTTTATTATATCAAACAGGACAGGAAACATCTGCCAACACCTTGGGCTTTATGATTGCCCTGCTCGCAAAGAATCCAGAATGTTACAAAAAGTAAGTTACACGATCAGATCACATAGCTATTATTAATACAAACAGAATTACAGCTTTATCAGTAATAGGCACAGAAAAGTTTACATGAGATATTCAATTGAAGAATGATTATTAGAGAAGTGCCGTTCCAGTTTGATTATATTGTCTCTTCGAAATTTTTAATCTGGGACAAGCAGTTCAATTAATCAATGATTGAATAAATGAATAAAATAACTGACTGAATAAGATGTTTCTTTTTTAGGCTACAAAAGGAAGTTGATGAAAACGTTGGCGCCGTGGCTGTGATCACATTCGATGAGCTTGTGAAGTTACCGTACCTAGATATGGTGTTGAAAGAAACACTCCGGCTATACCCTGTGGTTAAGTCATCATTTCGAGAGACAGCCACTGACTACGTCCTCGGCGGTCACCATATCCCCGCCGGAACTGACATGGTAGTAAGTAAACCTTTGTATAATACGGTGGCAGCAGAGATATTCTGCTGACGTGACTTTTGTGTGAAGTTGCGTTGTCTTGTCAGAAAATGGCATCCCCTCTATGCCACTGAAAAAGAGGACAGCGATAGGACTTAATATTTCTAGTCAAATTTCCATCGACGACAACTTACAAGGTGATATTACGACCGCGAATACCGCCACCAAATGCGACAGTCATAAATTCGATCTCCTTGGTGGCACCAAATGCTCTTCTTCCCTGGGTCAAACAAGACTCACCTGTCAACAGAAAAGGATCCCATGGGCTGTACAGCCATCGGCAGTGAGACTGCGCCTCATGTATGCGTTTACCTTAATGATGTCACCGTTTCATAACGAAAACCAAATCAATGAAGGGCTGCAATGCACGCAAACGAACGGCCATGTCTAGATTGTCCACTTATACAATTACCAAGAAACAACGTTCTGCGAAAATTCTGAAAGAATTATGTCTCATAGAGAGAATAATCGTATATGATGGTTCTCCGGAGGAGTAGCGAAATGTGTTTAAAATGGTGCAACTGTCAATGAGTCATCATCACAATGCAACCATAACTATTTGAAAGTTAGCGTTTTATCTAGCCTGATTTGAGCTTTCAAGTAAATATTCCAGTGCTCTTTCGACAGCCTCTGCATAATGCTATGTCGGTATTGTGACAAACATTTTTGATTTTCGAGATAGTAGGAAACTACTGACAGATTTCATCTCATGTACATGCACGTACGATCAACAAGTTCGGTGTGGCAAACACGTTCCCGGTGAAAGCCAACGGGGGAGCGAATATAATAACTTCTTCAAAAGAATGTTTTTTAAAGAAATATGTTAACATTTCTTTTCTCGAGTATTTTTATCGGAAGATTTATGATTTGTTTTGTTCCTATAAAAGAAATTTATTTAGTATGCGGAACTGACTAGTTCGTGTGTGTACTTTATGAATTATTTTACAGGCTAGTTTCTACGCGACGTCCAGGTCAGAGCAAAATATAACAAACCCCTCGGAATTTATGCCAGAACGATTCGACGTCGACAGCCCAGAGAAGTAAGTTAATGTGTTTAAGTGTTAGTTCTATGTATACTTTTCTTTTTATGACACTGGCCGACTGTGTGGTCATGTGACACAGTTGAATTCCTTCCAAGATCACAAACACAGTCACTCTGAAAAGACCTAAATGATCAGTGTATGTAGTCCTAAAATGGCATCATGAGTGATGTAAGGCCAGTTACACGGCTTGTTGCTAAAAAAAAGGTAGTGAATGTCGATTGCAAAGTAGATAACTTATCGTTGGAACAGCTATGAGGTCGCAGTAATTGTCGTGCTACCAACCTGCAACAAAAAGGCATGTGTAACGTAGAAGGACATAAGAAGTGCCAAGATTGATTATTTCGGTCCCAAAAGTCATTTGTAGAATGTGAATTTTGTTTAGTAGTTCCGTAAGGTTCTACAGAGGCAAGATTGATAGTTGCAAAACAAAAATATTTTCTTGCAATTCCCTAAAACTTTTGAGTTATCATTGAGTATTACTAATCTAAAATCCAAGTAAGACCTACATGTATTCACGATGTCGCAGGTTAGCCTTCATTTGCCCACGACTGCTAAAAGTCGTAGGATAAAGCCTACATGAACCAACAACTGCTTAAACTCGCAAAATAAAGTCTACATGTACTAACGAATGCTTAAAGTCGCAGAATAATGTTTATATGTACGCACAATGCTAGAAGTCGCAGATAAATGCTTTGTACGTATCAATGACGACTAAAAGTCGCAGATAAAAGCTTTGTACGTATCAATGACGACTAAAAGTCGCAGATAAAAGCTTTGTGCGTATCAATGACGACTAATAGTCGCAGATAAAAGCTTTGTACGTATCAATGACGACTAAAAGTCGCAGATAAAAGCTTTGTACGTATCAATGACGACTCAAAGTCGCATAGGTCGGTGGAATAGGTCAAACCTTGGGAAAAATTACTATGTTATCAAACTCTTCTGATTTCAACTCATCGATGTCTCTAGTATGACAGAAAAAGTCCTGAAAATTCCCTTAGGGGGAAAAAATTGAGGCCATTTTTAAATTTGTCCTATTTTTCACCTTTTTTTCGCCAAAAATGAGGAACGATTATATATCGTTAAGATGAAAGAAAATTCAAATTTGGATTTATGCCTTTGATATAAGAGTGCTGCAAATATGTTAATTTATTACACCTAACTCTATAACCTACTTTGACAAAATTAATTGACTCTGGTATTGGCATCATGTTTCAAAATCAAAGATGGCTGACAACATCCGGATAAAACAAACAAAAAGCATGGTACGAGCCCACTTCGGTCTGATACAGGTATATGATGGTAATATAATATATTATAATAATAAACTAACACTAATATTGCATATATAACGTGTTATCTGATAGTGTGAAAAAAATAGTTGAGTACAGCAAGCATGCAATCCCCAATGAACGGTATGGTTAAATAATACTTTCTTCAGAGTTAGCAGGTTAGAGCCTACATGTACGCAGTTACAGCTAACTTATTTGAAACAAGACCGAAGACCTTCCGTGACAGTTTTTTCTAAGACAGAATAATATCAGGTCTCTACGACGAGTCTTAAGACCAGTGTTGCGTTCACCAAAGACTTACCCAATTCTTCGTTTCTGGGTCTCACAGCTGGGACGGGAATTTGAATTCGACTTGAAAGTATAATATTTTTATCATAATTTTGTTAATAAAGTAAAAAAAAATCATCTTGAATATTAATGCGATATATTTTTTCAGATTTAGCAAATTTGTTTCCACACCATTTTCAACTGGACCCCATACATGCATCGGGAAAAAATTTGCAGAGGTATGTATTTTGTGTGTGAAGGATTCAAATTATCGTAAAATAAAATGATAAAAACGTAATAGAATTTGTTTGAAGTGATAAATTTATGTAAATCAATATGCAAAAACCACAAATGTCATGTATAGCACTTTAATCAAACATTATTCTGTACACGTTCAAAAATGTGTATTGTCATCGATTCCATCGTTCACGAAGGTAACCAATTGTCAGTTCAAGTATGGTGCTTCATCACAACTATTGTTCCTAACTGAAACATCGCAATGTAAACACTGACAATCGTCATACCGGCAATTATACGGATTTTAACCAATACAAGTGACAGAAGGTAAAATAATAATATCCGTAATAAGCATGTTGTTTGAGAATATCACTTTTTTTAGCATAAAATTGTTAGCTGCTGGTATTAGTATTTAAAATATGAATTCATACATTTTCTGGTTAAATGTTTCTCAACGGTATTTTTGAACCTGACACATTTCATATAAACATGAATGTAATTGATTATTGTAATTCTTTATTCAACAGATAGAGATGAAAATCATCATTGTCAAGATCATGCAGAATTTCGACTTTGAATTGATTCCCGGACAAACTTGTGAAATACAAGACAACACATTACTGCAACCGAAAAGTGGCGTCAAGTGTTTCCTCCGCCCGCGGAAAACAGTAACAGCGTAATGAGCAAGACTGTCATGTGTCATAATGCAAAAGTATTATTTTAAATTATAGTATTTTGTATTGAAAGCGAGAACAAAATCCAATGTTTCCCTTAAAAAACACGTTTTTAATTCATTTTTTGTATATACATTGTTCGATTTACCACCGTTGTGGACTCTTGATGGTTTTTAAAGGGATGTTACACTGCAAGGTTTTAATAGTTATATCGATTTTTGTTATTTCTAACATGTGATCTTGATTAACTGAGAAATGAAAAAAACAGCAAACAACCGCTGACACGGTAATGTAATGGCCTAGACAGTAACCTATGTTTGGGGTCCGTATTTGCTTTTGCAAAGTGAATATATCTGAAACAATGAACAATTGTAAAACACATCATATACTTAAGTAAGGCCCGTCTGTATATGGAACATAACAGTTATAATCATTGTTGTTATTATGGTATATTTACAATTGCCACTGTTTCTGAATCGATAACGTAAGTGTAGGCAGGTCTGTTTATTTCTCTATAACTTTAGTGTAGAACGTGATTCAGTTCACCGCGTAGGAATATATGTAAATATGGGCAGACTTCTTTCCGCAAACCTCATGTGAATGTTTACAAACAAACGCTAGCATTTAGACTACCGTGCGTTCGAGACAACAAATGATGTCGGGTTCGAGAGAAGACAGTACTAAGTATTTTGCCCCAGTACCTCAATTTCGTACAAATATAGAATTATCTATTCCATTACCTTCAAATACAATTATGAAGATATTGTATGAAATTAAATATGAATATTTTATGTGAATAAAAATATTGAAATGGAGGAACTTTTTTCATTTAATGTTACGGATAAAGTTGGCGGGGTTTAGCTGTCTGTCAACGGCTTTTGCGAATGACTGTTTCGCATGGATTAACATGACATCAAAATAATTTTGAAAGCAGATTACACAAGGTAAATGCTTGTATCAGCCTCTTTTAGTGGTGTTATTGTTGAAAGAAAATATTGTAAATATAAGGATTAAACTTATATTTTGTTTAGTTTATGAGATAATAAATCCAATGGAGCAGTCGGTGAATTGTTCGTAAACGCTTCGCAATTTACCTCGTGCTCCATTAGATTTATTATCTCATAAATAAAACAAAATAAAAGGTTAATCCTTAAATCATGAATTGTAAATGTATTTCTTTTTATTCATACCCGAGAGGAATAAAATTAGCTTTCACATCAACGGACAACTACATAATCCAACAATAATTTTTAGAGTTGCAGTAAGCCACTTGTTGATACAGATATTTTAATGAAAACTGATCAATTAATTGTTGTTTTATAACTTATTTAATGAAACTAAAAACTTTTGTTTTTATATATAACTAGTGAATGTCACATGAAGGCAGTTTATGGAGTGTATAAAGATAACGAATGACAGCAGCGTCAATAACACTTGTGAACGACTAAATATAGCCTTGGATCATACGTTAATATTATTAAATTGGCCTTGGATCACCCGTAACTATTATCAAATTGGCCTTTGACTACACGTAACTATTAAAAAATTGGCCTTGGATCACACGTAACTATTATCAAATTGGCCTTGCATATTTGATCACAAGTAACTATTTACAAATTGGCCTTGGATCACACGTACCTATTATCAAATTGGCCTTTGATTACACGTAACTATTAACAAATTTGCCTTGCATATTTGATCACATGTAACTATTAACAAATTGGCCTTGCATATTTGATCACATGTAACTTTTTACAGATTGGCCTTGGATCACACGTAACGTAACTATTAACAAGTTGGCCTTGGATTACACGTTGCAATTTACAAATTGGCCTTGGATCACACGTTACTTTTGTCAAATTGGCCTTGCATATTGGATCACACGTAACTATTAACAGATTTGCCTTGGATCACACGTCACTATTTACTAATTGGCCCTGGATCACACGTAACTATTAACAGATTTGCCTTGGATCACACGTAACTATTAACAGATGATTGGCTTTGGATCACACGTAACTATTAACAAATTGGCCTTGAATCACACGTAATTAGTGTACATTTGTAAACGGATATGAGGAAAATAAATGTTTGTTGAGTGCATATTGGAATTGGTAGTGGTAATTGTGAAGTACATGCAGTTTAAACGTGTTACAATGTATCTTAAAAAAATTGACTTATTTTTGACGAGTTGTAATGATGTTTATCAGAACTCCACGTTTATGAACAGGAGTTAGATTATTTTGTAGGTTGTAATCTAAGTGTTGCTATTTAATAGACTACTGGTACACAAACTCACCACACGGGTGTCAAGCTATTGAGATGGTATCGATAACCTTTAGTAATGTATAATTGCATACGTCCATGAAAACTTACTTATCAAATTATTTCCATATATCAAAGCATGTATTTGTTAATGTACGCATTGTATACTCCAGAAGAAAAGTCGAGTGAATAATTATAAGAAAAACTGATTATTTGATCTACGTTTGAGTTTGTTTCTTTTACTTGTTAAAACAAAATTGGAATATAAATCATCACATATCTTGTACATTGTTTTATATTACAGTTTCAACCACCTCTATGTAAATAATTAATTGCCTGATAGATAAATGTATATGTCTTTAGGGACCACGGAACCAAATCAAAAATAAATTGTGGGTTTTCCCCTTTTGGGCAGAAGCTTTAATAGGAAAGCGAATGCCTCGGGGCCTGCCTGTTGGATATTTAGGTGGCAGAAGTTTCAAAAGTTTTATCTTTGGGTTGAGCAATATATATATAGATGTAAAATGTATAAAAAAATGTTCAAGTCTGTTTTTGTCTGGGGGAGTTTATTTAGTGTGTAATTTGTTATAAATTTTGGTCAAATTTTGGTGCCGAATTCAATACAAAATGATGGCCCCCATATAAAAAAAAGTTAAAATTGGTTGAATCTTTAAACACGCTATTAATCATACAAAATTGACAGAATATACACTAATAAAGCGGAAAATAAAGAATAGGATTAATATACGGGCAATTAATATATATACGAAATGAAATAAAACACAAAAAGCACATACAAGTCAAAATGTCAGGTAGTAGAGGTAACCAGGGCACAAAGTGAAATATCACTCTTTACAGATATCGCAAAGGCAGATGGGGCCATCCCAGAAATTGATGAGCCTGCGATATTATTTGAAGTGTTGAACTTTTCGGAAGTCATAGGAGAGACTATTCCACACTCGGGCGGCCTCGAAAGCAAACGGTTTTTGTCCATACTTTACAGTGTTGACACTGGGCACCTCTGCAGTATTTTCTTTCCTGAGGTCATAATTAGACATCTTAATATATACAAGGTTATAAATATATTCAGGAGACTTTTTGTTTATAATTTTAAAAACCTTACAACCCATATCCTTCAGACGCCTTACATGTAGGTAACCCCCACTTACGCTGTCTGCACCCCTGGGATATGTCATAGCAAATTCGAAGGCATACAGATAGCTATTTGATTGTATCAGTTAAAAAACTGCTAAGCTTATCCATGTCCTTTGAACATTACAGGGAAGCAACATTCGACTTCAAGTCAATTTTAACCATTACGCGGCCACGAGATTCTTTTGATGTAAATTAAATAATCCTGTCTATAGCCTTCTTATCTCATACACAAAGTGGTGCACACTGAGCCTTCGATTATGTCAAGACATAGTCCAGGGGTGCATGACCTCTACCCGTATAAATAATTTAATTGCACAGAAAAATCATTACATGTGAATGTGCTGATGTATGGTAAGATGTGTATCATGTCGTGACAAAGTGGCAAGTAACTCCATTTGCTTGTATTGATATCATTCAGCTTTTGATATGTGCCGTATTACTTTTGCTGACACAAAAGTCAGCGTCCGTTTCAGTCACATGATAGAAAAGAAAATAGATCAAATTGGACATGGTCAAGGATAAGACACTTATTTGTCTAGACATATATATATTTGTTCTACTGTACATTTTGTTTCAAATATAGACAGTCAAACAGTTCAATAGAAATAATAATAAAACAAATACTGCGCCATATGACAATTTCGTCCCTATAGGCCTCATCAATGGAAAGAAGGGTATTGTTCCAGAACTAAGATACAGAGCGAAAGAAAATGTCTCTATAATAACCTTTATAACGCTTCTTTACACATTTGGATAAACAGTTTATTTCTTCTACAACCAGTATTTTATGTAAACCATGCTAGAATGAATTAAAGCTCAAAAATATTTAATGTCCTCCAGGACAATCCGTAGGGTAATCAAAGTACTTGTTAATAACCAAGTAGAGTTGTAAAGAAGGCATGATAGAGAATGTTAATACATGTAACAGCAAAACGGTATAAGAGATGTGAATGAGGAGCATGCACCCTTTGAATCTAGATTAAACACGATGATCGATTAATAAAACAAATCATAACATTTTACTATTTGCATGCATCTGGAAACTAGGAAATTTAACATATGTACTTTGTTTTATAATTTTGTGAAAATGAAAAAAATGAAAAACAAATAGCAGATAGTCCTCACAAAGCTTTTTCAGAAAACAACCATAATACCAATCGAGATATACAAATCAATTAACAAGTCAACAAACGTACTGTTCCTTCTGTAGTAAAATTTATTTACAAATATATTTCTAAAAATTGATAACATTTATGCATACAATTTATTTGGAATCTCTTAATCACCCGAAACTCCAAACCAATGCCAGCAACTTTTGAAATTTCCCTCCTCTATTGTTTTTGCCACTTCAACGTTTATTCATCAAATTTCAACTCTCTCATTCTCAAAGTTTTTTCAAAACTATTTCCTTCATTTTTGGACAACTTACATTTTTCAAATGTTTCACATGCTATAAACATCAATCAAACATTAATTCGATGCAAGCAGTTGATACTTTAACTAAAGGGTACCAAGAAATAAACAATATCTATTCAATAGCTCAAAGACCTGTTAAGATACCACATTGTCTCAGTTGTTCATCTTATAAACGGCTTTTCTTTCTTCGCGCAAAGCTACATGTAGTATATTTACTTTTATTATGCATCCTTACATTGCAATGCATTGGGAAGGCAAATATTATGAGACTATAACAACATTTGCTATTGTAGCGTCGTCAATCTTTATTGTGACGTCATCAATTTCATTGTTGTCAACACTTTAATTGTGGTAAAAAAAAATATCAAAATGTTGATATAAATAATGAATATTTTAGCAAATATTGTTATTGTCCTATAACACACATTTATATTGCTAACAAACCTTATATTGTTTATTATGTCATTAATAGCAATGTGTGTTATAGGACCATAACAACATTTGCTAAACCATTCATTGATTAATTATTGATTTAACAAAACAGAATTTCGATTAATTGATAACATTAAAAGTAGAAAACTAACAATTTATATATGAGTGATATATCCCATCTGTTGTAATTTGTAAACGGTACATGTATTAATAAAGCCTTTTTGTTTACAACCACATGAATGTTTCAAAGGTATTAACAATGACACGAAAGGACCAAGCATGACTAACCGTCAAGTTTAAAACATCACCGTAACCGCGGGTCTTATAATCGTTTTATTATTTTCAATTATTAAGACAAAAATCCTGTTTTCAATATACCGGAAATGGTCAAAATGTGCGACAAAACGTAACATAATTTGAACAAAACATCAAAAAAACTTTCCTGTGGATTTTAACAAGTAAACCTTAGATTGTGCATTGATTCTCTATTAACATTCACATAATTGTGTGTTTTGTTGTTGTGCATTGGAATGACGATCAGTTAGCTAGGAAGCTGAACAGAGTCAACAAAGTGAACAAAGTCATGCGCACTACGCCGTTTTCCTTTGGCGAAAGAAACACTTGACGCCATCTTTCGGAAATAAAGTTACAGAGTCAGTTAGTTCACAGGTTTGGCCGGGAATCAGTTCAAAGTCGAAATTTTGTATGATCTTGGCAATCATGATTTTCATCTCTATCTATTGAGAGAAAAAACGAAAAAAAAACATAATGATATAAAATACATTGTTTCAACAATGTTGTATGACATAAGTATATTAATAACAAATCATAAAAAAGAACAAAGGAGAGATAAAATGGTCAACAAAAAACAAAAAACAAAAAGAGAATTATACCACAAAATGTTTCTATCATCACGGTAAACATTATACCAATAAATACGCAATGAAATTATTATATGGAAGATTACGATTTCCAGCATTGTTCCATGAGTTAAATTAATGATAAAAATAATAAAAAGTCAACATACGTAACGCCTGTTAAGTGTAACAATCCAGCGTCGGTGTTTACTCGCGTTTCGTTTCGTTTTTAATAGCTCCTAACATGCATTATATATTCTAAGATATTATTTATAGGTTGGAACAAAACTATCACTTTATTTCAGCAATGACGGTTGAGGAACACGTACTTTATATATGGGATTTATCTGATCAAAGAACTATCATTCTTCCACTCCTATCCCTTTTCAAAGTATGCTTTAATATAAATGTTGTTTTCTGATATCCAACCATCCTTTATCTGAATTAAAAAGAGATTCGAGGTTTTGTTCCATTTCGTATCTTTCTTAAAGCTTTCTTGGGTGGTCCGATCGAGTTTGCCAGCAGTTGACTTCATCTATCGGCCGGACTGAAATTCAGAACGGTTGGCTAGAAAAAGTGACGACTGAACACCCTTACTTTCGGTCCCACAACATATAAAGTTAACCCGAGACAAGTAATATACTTTTGGTCTTAAAGTATTTTCATGGTAAAATGCTAGGTATGATTTTGGTAAAGAATCTTAACGTTTTAATGTAAATATGCTTAATCGCGCTGTTCAACATTTTCTGCCTCATTATACAAATTCATTTGCAATATGTATCGCCTGAACATATATCATCTTAGTGTATCGATTTCTTGGGTATCATATGTCATTTTTACATTAATAATGTTAAGTTTCACATAAATATTGTAAATAAAATTTGGTGACCTTAGGCTTTGAACTTATCCATACTGGACAAATATGCGCGAGGTATTACCATAGTTGATGCTTACTCTTTGTGTATCAATTTTCAATCTTATAACCTCAATAAAATAACCATGCAGCCATATTCATCATTAGTAAGACGCAAATTTCGATAGCTCGACAATGTCATATGTCATATGTTTTGACAAAAAGAAGTTCCAAATCCCCTTCCCATTCTAAAGCGGGTTAATCTTACTCTCATTGGCTAAAGTTATTTTGGTTTTAAAATAACCTTTCTCGTGTATGATGCGTGTATGATGAACAAAGGCAACCGTGACTTTTTGTGGAACCTCTATATTTCTTCCTTGAATACAGTGTTTAATTCTTAACATGCAATGCACATACCTCTGCAAATTTTCTCCCAATACACGTGTGGGGTCCGGCTGAGAATGGTGTGGAGGCATATTTACTGAAGCTGGAAACAATTGCATGACTTTAATCTTTGGGAGATAGAGAAGCAGGGAGGGAGGGAGAGAGGTTACATCAAAATAATTATGATTTTTATATAAAATATATAATTATTTTTAAAAAGAACGTGCAATTTATAAGAGGACTTTTTCTACGTGAAGCAAGTCAATGATCAACATATGATCAAAGGATTGTTAAGTGTAGTACTTTGCATTATTCATCCAAAATAAAAATTATCCAGGTTATACCTCTCTGAGCTGTCGCTGTGAAATCGTTCTGGCAAAAACTCTGTGGGGTTTCTCACATTTTGCTCCGACCTGGAGGTCGCGTAGAAACTAACCTTTAAAACAAATTACGCATATCAAGATCAGCTGAAAAAGGCCCATAGGATATCTATCGCTCATTTGTGCTTCTGGTTGAATAAAGCGATACATTTGAGAGGACAATATTATGTCATAGTAATAAAAACACATCAATTAATGGCATATGTCAGATACCATTGCAATGTACCTACTTAATGTAGGGGAAGAACATATATCAAAGTGTCACAATAGGAATTTGAGAGGCCTTAATTATCTGAAATTATTTTAATATGTGCACGTAGCCAATCTCAATATATATTTTTTTGTATTACCACTTAATACAAAATTGTTCCACCGTGAGAATGAAGATATTATACAAACCTGTTTAAATTTCAAACTGTGACGTTGCATTGAATAGAAATTATGACATTGAAGAAAATAAAGATGAAACAGTTTACACCAGTCACTAGAAACTCATTTAATGTACTTTGTTGATTACCAATAGCTAAGGTGTATGTCCTGATGTCGTTAAGTTATATACATAGGTATGCTTACAAACATGTCAGTACCACCGGGGATGAGGTGACCGCCGAGATTGTAGTCACTGGCTGTCTCGCGAAAGGTTGCCTTAGCCACAGGGTAAAGCCTCAGTGTTTCCTTCAACACCATATCTAGGTAGGGTAACTTCTCAAGCTCATTCAGGGTGATCACTGACACTGCGCCAACATTTTCATCAATCTCTATTTGTAACCTAATAAAATAAAATCCTACTGTTTCAAAACAGTGGAGTGTTCAAATATCTTTCTCACAGTACACTTTTTGTTCTCCAGAAAGCTATTTTATATATTACTAAAAAGTTAACCACTTTTCGCTTTATCTATAACTTTTACTTAATTCCTTTTTTGTTTTTGGTTTAGAAATAACATAATGAAATAATAGTTTGAGTCTCTTACCTTTTGTAACATCCTGGATTCTGTCCAAGAAGAAAAAGCATGCAACTCATGGTGCTGGCAGAGGTTTCCTGTCCTGTTAGATAACTATTTAAAAAATACCAGTTGTAGCAAGATTTCTAGTGATTTTACAAAAAAAGTAATTGTTTAACAGTTTTTAATTCTAGTTTAATCTCAATTATAAATGATAAATTCCTGCCGATCAAATATCTACTAAATGATAACCCCAATTCTATGACATCAATTTATATAATCTTAAAACCATCTTAGGCAAGACCGAGATATGAATATATTTGTATGTATTATGTTGATGAGTATATTTACCTGCAATCAGGAAGGTTATAAAATTGTCCACCAATATGTCGTCCGTTATTATTGATGGGTGTTTTTCTGAAACAATGACGAATCATTGAATTTGTCATTAAATTAGGGTCAATATGTAACGCTTCTTCTCTCTAAACAGTAGTTAAACAAATTGGGGTTTCAACTTTTGTTTTGCCTCTACCCTCTCAAGTGAGGTCTATTGCGTCAAAACAGCTGTATGATGCAGTGTATTGATTTTTGGCTACTGCATCTGTTACAAAGTTCAATGACATATGTTTGGTTATTTTCATCTATAATAACAAACTTTGAACTCTAAGTCGATATAAGAAAAGGCAACAATATATACCCGCAGTACTTACATTATTTTAAACGTATAGATATGATTTATGAGAAGTTCTTTTTACACAACCAATACAATTTTCTATGTGACGTTTCGATGACTAGTACGATATGTACACTGTCACCTTAATCAGACAAATGACCAATGAAGCGTATGCACACAAAGGTGTAAAATGTGTACGAGTTGTCCGTAAAATCGATGTCGATTTCGGCTACGCTGGAAACGTATGTACAATAGTTGTTATATATGTACCGAAATGACTCAATTCAATTGTGAAACGTCACATAGAAAATTTTATTGGTTGTGTAAAAAGGACTTCTCATAATCCTTACTTACCAACCTGAAGAAAATGTTTAGAAGTATAGACATGATGTACCAGATAAGTACCTTTTAGTTCCATTATGTATTCCAAAAGATCGTGTGGGAAATAGTCGCCATTACTTTTGGCCACATTTCTCTTTTTCATCGAATGTTTGGCGCTTTGTCTTATAAAGTTTATTGCTTCTCGCACATTCCTACGAAATCCCCGCTTGAATGGATTTATCTGAAAATCGCCAAACAAAACACCGCATGGCAAAAGGTTGAAGAGTGAAAAAAACATTATATATTTAATATTTTTACATGACATATTTCATAGAAGCAGTGAGGAACCCACAATGTTCATTTTATGGACTATAGAACCATATTTAATTTTCAGTTCGTGAAATTGTATGAAACCATGATAGATATCATTGTAAATATGCCATACAAAATAATTGTAAAACGCTGTCATTATAAATGAACAAAGGATGCTGGAGACAATAAATCAATTATAAAATAATTATAACAGAAAGGGGAGAAACCAGGTACTATGAAATGATGAAAAATATATACGTACGGCTACGAAAGGATTCTTATTAGACACAGAAATTCCTAATAAGGCTGTCTTCATTTTCGTCACAAAGGGATGGTTTTCTCCTAGTAACGGGCCCATATCGACATTGAATGCTACCTGTAAAAATCATATGATATGAATACAGAATTACGAGTAACTTCCCGTTTGTATTACAGTAGCTATACTTTTTAGATTTAATTGAAAGCCATCGCTTCCATGTGCTGATGTCTTTTTTAGGTCACCTGGCCCGAAGGGCCATGTGAGCTTATGCCGTACTGCGGCGTCCGTTGTCCGTTGTCCGTGGTCCGTCTGTCGTCCGTCGTCCGTCCGTCAACTTTTTCTTTTGAACGACTTCTTCTGAAGAACTGGAGGACCTAGGGTTATGATATTTGGCGAGTAGGTGCCTGGGAAGGAGTCCTATAAAGTTTCCTCATTAAAATGATCTTGACCTACTTTCAAGGTAACATGGTTAAATATGTTGAAAACTTCAAACAACAATATCCCAAGAACAATTTGGACTAGAGTCATGATACGTAGGTATGTTATGTAGACCAGCAGTGCAAATAGTTTTCTTTATTACAGTAATGAGGTCAAAGGGAAACTTTAAGTGCTAGTCAGGGGTCAAATGTAAACATGGGTTAAAAACTTTAACAATATTCTTCTCAGGTTCCAAAGGGTCCAGGGGCATAATATTTGGCCAGAAGGTACCTGGGATGGAGTGCTATACAATTTCCTCATTAAAATGACCTTTACCTAGTTTCAAGATCACAGGGGTCAAATATGTTAAAAACTTCAAACAAGAATATCCTTAGAACCATTTGGACTAGAGTCATGATACTTGAGTATGTTATGAAGATCAGCAGTGCGAATCCTTTTTTTAATTACAGTAATGAGGTCAAACAATAGATAATAACTTAAAGACAACAGAGGATGACCTATCCTACTTAAAGACAAATCTTATACAACAAATTATAATCCACTCTACTCGTACACAAACCTTGTACAGCAGATGCATCGTCAGTTTGTTGAAAGTATCTAACGTGTGTATTTCCGTCTTGCCGTCCGCATAGGTATTCAGGTACTCTGTAAATTGATTCGCGAACTCGTTGAATTCAGATGCAAATTGTCGAACGTAGCTATAAAAAGTAAGACAAAGAGTGGCCACTGATTGCAAAACAAAATGGAGATTTTGTGGTTTAAAAAGGAAACAATTTGTTATTAAGGAAAATCTCGCTAGCATTCGAATACATAATGTAAGAACCTATATATTTGATATCATTATATAAGTAGATAATTACATGTATTCTCAGCTTAATTCAAAATTAAAATAAATTTTACAATACAAACAACAAACGTGGACATAATGGAATTCCGTCAGATTAAACGTCACACTATTTGTTTGTCCGTTTGTCTATGTATCATGAACTTTAGCAGAAATTCGTTATGTTTCATTCTATGACACTTTGTTACAGTTGAGTGTGCTTTTATTATCTTCATTTTGATTTGAAAAATTATTTACAGAAAGAAAGATTATCACATAAAAGAACAGTACCATTTAAATTTTGTAAATGGAAATGTATGTCTGTTGCTCTTTAAGGATACTGATGAGCGGTCATTTATAAATATTTTGTTTAAACTACTATTGCTTAGTGGAGTGTAAGTCGATGAAATAGCAATATAGTTGCAGTTGAGTGAAATCCAATAGTGACAATTATGTTATTTAGACGAAGTGTTTTTCTTTGTGTTTCAGTATCTAAGCAGTCTTCTTACTGTGGTTTGAACCATTGGTCAAAATGTTTCCGCTGCACCACCCAGTGTTTATTATCAATCTGTGCTTCGAGTCCCTGTCCCAAAAACCTGAAATAGTCAAATCACAATATTAGAAATTAGTGTTATGAATTTTGATAATTCCGTATAATCAGAGGATAGTCTAGTTAATCTAATTTTGCGGAACAAAATCACTGTTTTCAAATCATTGTTACATTCATAATGTCATCACTAGTCAAGAAGGTTGAAATACCGGATAGTCATCTGTTTCGTAATTCAGAACCGGAGTCTTGACTTCCAGGAGGAAAATAAAATATGAGGATGAGAGAACAATATGTCAATTATGTTTTATACTGAAAGTTTGTCCGAAGTCTGGGGAAAAAAATACGTACTACAACAACATTTTCATCTCAATTTTTATTTATTTTTTACTTTATTTTTGTTCATTCTGCTATTTCCACGAAGATTCCGATGATATGTGCATAATCCGAAGTAAATGTGTTGCATACAGCGTTATATGCACACCATCTTCATAACCGACTATTTTGAAATTTAATCCCATGAATTTGTATCACAAGAATTCAAAACAAAATAGTGAAAAAACACGTTTTAAGTTTATATTACCTTGTACCAAATAAGTTTGTCAATCTTGAATATATCCGTTTGGATTTCTGGTGATTTCCTGTAACCAGAACATCCTAAAACAATACCAAATTCGTATTAACAGTACGAACAAAGGTAATTGTAAGACGCATCAATCTTCAAGGGAACTCCCTCTTTATCAAATTCACTTTATCACAGTATAGAACAGAACTTTCTATATCTCGAGAAATTTTCCCGAAACCTGCCGCTTACAATTTCCTTGATGTCATAATGGCATCACTCTAAATTTATCGTTCTCTTAAAGCGATGTGAATATAGATCCTGGATCTGACGGTAAAATTGAACGTTTTCAAAATTTGAAAAATACATAGATATACATAGAATCAGATATTTTATTCTGACAAAATAAGGACTTTTAAATATTTTGACAATCAGCTCTAAAATAAAAATAAAGCACCTAAACATTTCAAAAGTTGCGATGCATAGAGTTTGATATTGCCTTTAAAATATTATTTCTGCGCTCTGTTTTGTCATTGTTTATTTAATTTATATTAATTTTATTAAGCACAAATTAACTGTGCTTGAATTCATAACATTAGATGGAAGATTGTTTCAAATACCAGTTCGCTGTGTAAACAAACAATTCTAATAATAAGACTTGAATGTGATTTGGAAGTTTTTAGGTTGTGTCCACGTGGAGATAAACCTTACCTGATTTGGAAGTTTTTAGGTTGTGTCCACGTGGAGATGAACCTAACCTGATTTTGAAGATGTCGGATACTTCATATTTATATTTTCCGGACATTATTACATAGACCTCTATCATATTGTCACAGGATCTGGGTTCCTACCTTTTTTCTCTTCGTTGCACACAATGTGTTTTCCTAGATGAGACACCAGACCAGACTTTACCCAGAACACATAAAGCTAACTTTTAAAAGAGAAAGTTGAAGGACCGCTAGAGGTCCATGTTACTAAGCTAGTGTTAAGGTTCGATTTTAAAACTAGTTAACAATTTTGTTATTGCTGATGGGTGAAGATAGAAAGTTATTGCTTAAAACATTGTATCTGTGTATTATGGAAAAAACATATCCCAATGATATAGAGAATACTAGGACAAAGCTATTGAGATTTACCTTAATGCATTCTGGATCTAAGACAATAACAAAAACATTATTCCACAAAAAGACACGGAAAACCATCCCGTAAGTTTTGGAACTGAAAATAAAATCAACAGTTTTAGCATCATCAGAACAACACGTATATAATATTTCTGACATTGTAGCCAGCGACACTTTAAGATCCAGTCAGTAATACGAAAAACACTTATACAAATCATTCTTCATATGAACGAAGTAACGAAGCACATATTTGTATAAAATAAAGTCAATGCAAGGGACAAGCAATCCTTTACTGCACCTTACTAGTATTTTGCGTCCTTTTAGGACAATGATACAAAAGTTTCATAGTATATAAAGTGCTTTCACAACACCAGACTTCGATCACACACACATACTTATCAATATATTTAATGTTTCAACATCAAGCTAAAAGCAATTGCATACTTGTAGCGTATTTCTCAAAAGTAGAGTTTAATACTTACTGATCAAAAACAGTTGATACGTATTGTAATTGTTCTCATTTCATTAAATAACTCACATTTGTAGGAAGTAGTCATCCATTATACCGCCAGCAGCAATCACCTTTGCCATGGATGGCATGTGCCCGCTCCAGAAGCTTCAAAACATATATTTCCAAAAAATACACACAGAAAACGTAAAAAAGCACATTATCAATACTTCTTTTTCCATTATTCGTTTTAACAATAATAGTTTTATTTACCCTTTGACGGTCGTTCATAAGAAGGGTACTGTTTAAAGAATACCAGAGTTCAAATTCTCTATGTTTTCGAAGGTGATAAAAAGAAAAGACTGATATAAAAAAATGAATGTTCTTTAAAATTTGATAATCGATCAATGTGCTCGAATTCGAATGGTCCTTATCTCTTAACCAGGCTACACTGAGGTTGTTACATTTTTGTAATCATAGCCAGAAAATTCAATTATGACAAAAGACTTGTTTTCTGTTTCAGGTTTACATGAAAACCACTGAAAACTACAAGGAGAATAATACCAGATGTTTAGTAAGGGGAAGCGTATACTGCTTCATCGACGACACCGGCAATGTCAAAAGTTGACATCGACAACTTTTGTCGTTACAACAAAACCACAAGGTACATGTATGCGCTTATCAAAAACATCGACCTTCATGTCACACAAAGAAATACCATATTCTCCTATGATGTCGAAATGGCGACCATAAAACTTTTCAATCGTTTTTTATTATTCATCAACCTGCATCTTTTGAAACCCTAAGTTTGTCTGTCTGTAACGGAAATCGTGATATTCGAAATAAGCTCTTGTATACGGAATTAACTACAACATGTAAAAGCCGTAGGTAAGGGAGTAGGGGTGTTACTAACAATAAAGGGAAAGTTCAAGATCGAAAAGCTGAAAACGTTTCGCCTAATAGTACGTCGTCCCTGTTGGTCATGATGCAAGTAAAGATAGGGAAAAGCGGCAGAAATTGACAAATCTGTATAAGTCTATACGGTGCAATTGAGAATACATAAATGTGCAAAAATTACCAACTATACGATAAATCATGTTGAGCAAAAACTTGCTTTGAAATATTGTAATGTAAATAATTTTCAAAACACATCAGATTAGATTTTGCAGAATTTTATAAAAGAAAAATGATTGGATAAAACAAGCACTACTTCAAATAGAAAACTTTTATTAATCAAAAGACAGCAGAAACTCTCCCTCCAAAAAGGACCGGATGAGGGCATGCGCAGAGGGCGGTAGTTGATACGTAAGGGTAAATGATTCTTTCAACATACTGCCACCGTCAAATAAGGCAATTATATAGGTTACTCACGTTCTCAGAAATGATTTGCACGTCGTTTGTCATAGTACTTACCTGTCCCTCGGGGGCCCTGGTAAATGATCATACTTTTGATGTTGTCGATGAATGTGCCATGCTACAGAGACAAGTATACAAAGACACACAGCGGCTATAATCCCAAAGAATTCCACCAACAGAACACTCATTCTTGACGCGTAAATCCTTTATGAATGTACACAGAAACACAGATACACCTGTTAAATGTTAAAATGGTATCGCGGTTATAATACATTCACCTTACTCACATATATTTATCACAAGCTTGTCTTCTACAGAAGAGTTTAAAGGACTTATATATTATCTGTTCATCTGATTCGATGTTTTTAGACACTAACCTGAATTATCAGTCGGCATACAAAAACCAAACTATTTTGTTAAGCAGGAATCCTTACGAATATATATCCTCTACATATTTTTCAGCTGACTTATTTGACCCAGAAACTATAGCTAAGTAAGCATATTGTCGTTCTGTACACACGATAAGGTCGGTTAAACAACATATCCGTGTGTATGTAATGATATGAGTCAGTTCAAATAGCTGGTTATTGTCAGTTTTCGTGAGTAGGTCACACTACCGGAGGACATATAGTTGAACACGTCAGGAGTGAACTGTCCTTTACAATATAACTTTATAACGTTTCTATAAAATCTGATACAGCAATACATCTTTACCTCAATAACGTCAGATTTGATCAGTATGTATAATAACATGCTCCTTTGCTTCAACAGAAACTTGGACAACTTAGATTTCCAGCTGTTTGGCCCTTACCATCTCCAATGCTAGTCCGAATCCGAGAAGGACAACACAGCTGTATGATGCAGTGTATTTTTATTTTTGGCTTAAGATACAAGATGGTAGACACTGGTTAGTCTTCAAGTTTTGGTGTAAACTTGAAGGCCACAGTGCTCTCTTTTGAGTATTGGTGAGGTTCATAGTATACACACTTTACAGATTGTTTCATTTGAAATTAACCAGTTCTCCTCTATTTTTTAAATTCATAATCAATGGGTTTTACGTCCCGCCCCTTTGTTTCGACAGTAGGTAACCATATTTTTGCGGTATTGCTTTTTACGAATTAATCGGGACTTCACAAGACCGACGAGGAGAGATTTTGATCTAATGTTTTTCAATTTGTCGAAAATAATATTCATTAAATATTTAAACTTATATAGTCGAATTAGCCGAACAACGCAAATAGATCATACATCGCGCATACTATACATTCCACCACATTGGAACTGTTTTTGGGACCTAATATCTGTTCTCCAACTTTATGTAGAGACGGTGTGGTACATCTCGCAACATATTTCCCAGTATCCATACCACTTAGCGGTTTAAAAATCAATTATCACATTATCTAGAACGTAATACAGCGATGTAATACATGTATCTTATTAACAGTATACCTATTTTTTATTCTGTTTATTCATTTTTGGTCCGTGTTTTCTAGACCAAAGTAGGTTTTTTAGCTTTCGTTGAACGCATACATGTATATTACTCTGAATAAGTAGGTTTTGTGACACTTATTACACGCATGTATTACCATGCGACAAATTCCTTGTTTTAAATATGATTAAAATGTTTACTAACGAGACAAAACAGGTGGCAATATTTCTCGTTATAATACCATTAATTATACATGTATATCACCGTAACAAAATATGGGTATTGTCTTGACATATCGTTACATTACTGTTTGTCAGATGACCGAGATGTCTTTGTATACTTAACTTTTTGTTTCCACTTACTACGTTTGAGTCAGTTATATCAGACAATGACCTTATTGCAATATGACGACTTTTCTCTTTCTCTTTTTCTATCTACAACTATGAAATCAGATATTTACGTGGGCCAAATTTTCGTGGATTTCCGACAAAACACCGTTTCGTGGATATATGAATTCGTTGACTACGAGTACCCACTCAAACGTAGAATTGCTTTATGTCAAACTTGTAATTAGTTCGTGAACCTATGAAATTATGGCTGAAGACTACCCAAATCAACGAAGTTACGAACCTCAAGAAAATCAGTGATTTCGCGGTATCTTCCTTTTTCTTTAGGTAATGTGACCATTAAGGTGTTATATTATCTAATCCAAATTGTGCGTGTTAGTGTTGGCAATTCAATATGACACTAACTTGTACATGCCGTGTAACGTTTTGGATTAATCGTCATTTACTTTATTGTAGCTCTAAAGAATTGTAAACGCCATTAAAATCTATAAGATAGTGAATTCCTTACAAAATATCAATATAAGTGAAAAATATAAAATTGATACAAAAAGGGAAAGTATGTAGATTTAAATTATTATGCCTTATAAGGTTTGATTTATTGCTGACAATACTGCACAACATTTGTGGCTTACGTTATAAGATTTTTGTGAAGGAATGCGTAGCTGAAAATGGAGACATTCTATCTGTAGTAAGAATATTCTCTCTCATCATAGTGATCTACGACAAACTAAAAAGAGTTTTTGACTAAATTGGGGCTTTAAGGTAGCTTATAGTAGAATATAGAATGACCGGTTCTAAACTTTGCCAATGACAATCAAAGGAAACAGTATGACTAGTATTCTATTATTTGTTTCTGAGATAATGTCAATCAAGTGTACGTAAATAAACGCATGATCAAGTATCTATTTATATGTTACCTTGACAGAAAAACATATACACCTTGGCACGTGTGCGTTCTACATGCTCACCTATATTTGTACTGGAAATATGATATCACATTCTATATCGTCCTACAAAAGATCCAGCGTAAACAGGGGCCTGTTCGGTTATGCGGAACAACCGGTTTGGCCGTTTATAAATGTAACAATTTCGGATATAAATCCTGGCGGACCTGTGAATGTTTATGCAGGCCTTGCAGGCTGTGTCAAGGCTCGCCTGAAAGCAGCATCAGATTACTAGGTCCGACCTTATTTGATAAACGAACAACTGTGGTCCGACCGCTTTGACCGTTCAAACAAATCGTATCTCATAGAGTTTATAAATTATTCAGAAGTTTGTAAAATAACAAAAAACAGGTAGCAATTTCGGGTACTTATGTGTGTCAATTTTCCAGGAGGTCGCAGAACTCGTAACTACGGAAGAGCATGAGGGCCACGGAGATTTTTTCTCTTTTGTTTGCGTTAATAACTCGAAATTTCGACTTATTACATGCGCAATGCTTGTATGTACGGGTGGACGCAGAATTGTCAGATGAAGAAGCGCACCAGGCGGTTGATCCATACTTGTATAAAGGGGGTCGATGGCCGAAGCCCCGGTTGGGGGAGCGAAGACCCCAGAAGCCGTAACAATACAAGTAAATGAATATTTAATTAATTTTTTGATATGAGCAAGGTGGTTCCAAGTATTTTTGAAGTCATGTCTATGAATACTGTTTACGCCTAAAGCCTCTCTGTAAAGGTTCACGTGCAGGCCTCATATTGACATCTAGAAACGCATTCAGGTGTAATGGTGGGCATTTCAGAATATTTTAAAGCTTTATAATTCAATAAAGTTTAATGTACTGCATATTTGGTTTAAACCAGACTCTATTCAATCCGGATCGTTGTATCGACCGAACAAATTATTTTATCTTTAATTCTTTAAATTTTATAAATACACTTCAGACTCAGTTTATTCTGCCTATACGGCTTCGCTTTCCGGTCCAATGCCTTGTATACACTAGTAAGTATACTCTCTGTGAACCGGTATTATATCACGTTCTGCTCTAGTTCAATCGTTGTTACTTGAAAGGTGAGTTAAA